CCAACCAACCATTCAACCAACCAACCAACCAACCAACCAACCAACCAACCAACCAACCAACCAACCAACCAACCAACCAACCAACCAACCAACCAACCAACGCTTTTGGGGGGGGGTTGAAGCGAACTTCGTTGAATGTTCAATTCATAAATTCATAACAGCTGCTGCAGACCAGTAAGCAAAGTTTTCTCACTAAATTATTATTGCCAATGAGGAAATTGAGCTCACAGAGTGAACAGTGACCCCCTATGGGTCCTGTCATCTTGTAATGACATCACATCGAAAGTACCCCACTTGTAAACAAAGCCCTGAAAATTGAAATTGTTTACAAAAGTGTTATTTTCATTTTGAGACACGAAACAATTGATGCCAGATGGTTTTCTTCAAAAAGAGAAGTAGAAAGTGTCACAAACTGACCTGGTTCCAAGTGAAATTTATATCATTTTAACAATTTTCAAACCCTTTCACAAAATATCCCAAAACCCTATAAAATTAAATGATCTATTTACCAAAACACTGCTACCCACGGCCCTATCCGTTTCCAGGGCGACCCTCCAGAGTTGCCCGTCCTCCGTGACATTTAACGATTCCAGGCTTCCCCAACCGCCACACCTCAGGACCCGCGTTCTCCGGACCTGGCATGGTGTGACGGGGCTGTCGGGGTCATTGCTGGCTCCAGGCTGCGGTGAAGGGGACAGGGTTCCTGGAAAGTCCACAAACGGGATCCGGGACGATTTGAGGATTGAGGGATGAGAGCTGCAGCCTGGAAAGATCAAAGAGGCAACAGTGTTGAGCTTCTAAGATATTCTGTAAAGGATACGTCGATGCAAAGTTTCTGTGAGTAGACCAAAAAAGGGGGGCTTATGGCCAATACGAACAGACCGGCATGCAGACAATCTACTTGAGTCAATAGAACGCTTAATGGAGAAATGGTTAGATTAATACAAAATTAATGCTTTCAACGAAAAGTTTTCGTTTTGATGACGTGCATTCCAATGTCAAAAGGGTAAATAGAAGCATTGTGATATCTTGAAAAGAAATCCACGCCTGCGTAGTCCATTCTTGCAGAGCAGACAAATTGTGGGAGCCTTCAGTACCTCTTATGATTGGTTCGGTCACGTTTTTCAAAAAGCATCGCCATGATATCCGTTTCAGGATCGCGAACGTGATGTCGCCTCTGATTGTGATCCAAGGTGGTTTCCCCCAGGCAGGTAAATCTCAGGCCCAGCGTCGCGCGGCAGTGTTCGTGACCGACGCCTGACACTCTGTCTTCCATTTTGGTCACACTCACTGGAACAATTAGCCTGGTATTCTGCGGCTCTTCTCAACGTCCTTCACGCAAAGGTTTCCGTCAGAAGCAGTTGGAATTTAGTCATAATGAAAACCGTCGATGAAGCACAAAAGCCCGAAATGCATCCCCATAATAGGACGTACCGTTTATTCTGTCCACTGCCCAACGCAAGGAGGATGGATTTTTCTCTTCGCGTAATTTTGCTTCTACCTCTCGACTAAAAGCTTTCCGATGACAGGCGAGCTCTTTGCAGCAAACAAGGAGCAGAATGAGTGTGACAGGTGAAATCTTTGCGACCCATGAATGTCTCAATTAAATTCAATCAGTCCGGATACAGAGACTCGGGTCTAGAGAATGGAACAGTGTCATCCCGGATTGATGGCGGTTGATGCGATACATCCGGGTTTAGGAGTCGATAAATTAACCAGCCGAGCCCGTTTTTTTCTCCATACGATAGTTAGCGGACAGCAGAGTGACATTACCAGTCTCGAAAACTCTATGTTTGTCGGAACCTACAGGAAAGGGGGGGGGGTAGTTGAACACCTTTTTTCTGATACTTTGCGATGACATCACCACAATCCACTCTCAGGACCGAGTGCCTTGGGTTTTGTTCAGAGAGGGAATTTTGTAATAGTTGGAGCCATGTTAAGAGATATCTTGGCTATGACGGCCAGATGCGGTTGATAATATTCCACTAGCACTTCAAATGATTTCTTCTCAACCAAGCCGCTGGAATCAACACTGCTGAGTGGCCCTTTTTATATAAGGTTACAACCAGGATACCAGGACAACACGTTCAAGTTGAGGTCTGGGTTGGTTCTTGGTGATATTGGGTTAATGTCTTAGTTTTGGATTGGATTACTGTTTGGTTTGATTTAGTTTGGTTCTGTTTGATTTGGTTTGGCCTGGTTATGTTTCGTTTGGCTTGGCTTGGTTGGTTTGGCTTGGTTTGGTTTGGCTTGGTTAATTATGTTTGGTTTGGTTTTGCTTGCCTAATACGGTTTGGGTTTTGTGTTTTGGTGTGAGTCAGTGTTACTGTTTGGGTCGGTGTTTGGTTTTGGGGGTTAGTGTTTGTACCTGGCTCAGTGCAGTATGCTGGTTATTTTGGTTCGGGACCCTTTGAATACAAAGGGCGACACTCGTGATATCCAAATCCATGCTAAACAGAACTTAGTTAAATGAGTGGAAACATTTTACATATCGCTAAAGTAGAACCAGGCAACGAACCAACGATGTACCCAAAACAAGGATTAATTGTCAGCTGGCTCATTAGGAGCACCTCCGGTGTAAGGCGAGAAACTTTCAAATAACCGGCAAACGAGTTCCTCTTCCCCATCTTGCAGCTGAAAATAATTAACAGTTTCACACCGATCGGTGTCCTGACTTAAGTCCTCGGCGTATCCGCAGGTGAACCGGGAAAAAGCCATGGAGCTACTTGCCTACTGAGCAGAATCCGCTGGGGACAGCGTGCGATGACAGCCCGTTCCAAACAATATTTAACCAGTATTTTGAATAAGTTGTGACTGCTGCCTACTTACATTCCTCCGAGGACAAGTGATCGAAGTCACTCCACACGAGACGGGTGTCGTTGCGTGATTCAATTATACATGTGTGAATCCTTGTTTTTGAGTACCCTGTGTTGTTCTACTAATAATAAAAACAATATTTTGACTGAGACGAAATTTCTGTTTAATTCATGCATTAACATAAATAAATTTAACGAAAGAACTTCCAAAGTTAACAATGTTGTTGTTAATATCCCTATTCATTGACTCTCCTTAGGAAACCAATGTCTGTCGTCAGCAACATTCATGTTGTCCCTCCGTATATAATCTGATCATCCCTATCCAAACCTTGAACTTTGTCCCCTCAATGCCTAGTGACAAGTAGCCTAAAATTAATACAGGCCTGCAGGGCCTGTCTAGGGCTGGAATTTTAGACATGGGGCCTGGTTGATTATTCCTGTAAGGTCTTACTTTGAAACGTCATTAACGGTCATCGATATCTGTTCAAGATTCGCCTTTTTATTTTTTTTCACTTTTTTAAAATGGGGATTAAATGGTTCATGAGAGGAACTTTGTTTTCTAAATTAAATATAAAAACGCTAATTTGAACTTGAACCCGACATAGCCATTCTTAGGATGCCAAAATGGCAAACCTTGGGCAGAATCAATCAAAGACTCACACATGTTTCCAATTGTATAAGCTAGGGAGTGAAATCCAATTTAAATCAAGAAAGGAAATGGCAACTAAAAATTAGACGAAAAAGGAAATCGGTAAAGACACAAGGACAATTCTGCAAACACGTCATATAAGGGCAGAAACTGGCTAGAACGACTAGAAGTTGGTGCGAAAAAATGTTAAAGTTCGAAAAGCTTGAGGCAACGTGGGCCTTAAGCTCAAAACTGAGGTAAGGAAGCTCATTTCAAATTGTTAATCAGATCAGTAGGCAAAGTGTTCCGAATACGTGCAAAACGGCAAGGGTGAGAACTTAAACTCGTTGGTACGGGCAAGCGACTGATGAAAAACAACGACATCAAGAAGTGAATACAAGAAACATGTTGAGGCATCAACTTGATATTTACAGAGCAACTGTTTGCCTAGAAAAGGAAGGAACATTATACACCTTGTTGTTACTGTCTCATTACTGCTTTTATCAATGCTCTCTAAATGGCATAAAATGATATCCCATTTCCCACATTTTATTCCCAAGCAAGTAAAGAAGTGAAATGTAAACTCTCATTATGGATCCTCGACACACGAAGAGAGGGGAGCGAAATAAACTTGAATTATTCAGGGTTATCCAGTGGAATTGTCCTCGTTGGCGAGCTCGTCTAGTCTGGTATGCAGGATAAGCTGTTGCCCTCGAAAAATATTCTGGAAGCAAATTAGTATTTCTATGCTTCACCGGGCTGCACACATGAAAAACGTGCAGAGAGACCACCTGTGCCGCAGTGCATTATTGATCCAACTCATTGGAGAATTCGGATAAGGTCAGGCTCGCAGAGCGGTTGATATTAAAGTACAGATGCAATGGAATTTTCTTCGACATTTTTCTCTACAACTCTGTTCACTTCGACGGACGAAAACTCTTCACACATTCCTATTCTTGGTAAAGTGGACTGAAAAGTTCACTTTTTTAAACACTTCAAATTAGCCATGCTTCCTCAGACAGCCATGAGGGCGCTGTTGATGTAGTGTCATCCAGTGTATAGGTTTTTCTTTTCAAAGTGTGAACCCAACATTTACGTATGGAGAACGTTTCTGAGAAAGGGATTGAAAGGCTTGCTTATTGTTACAATACACAATCAACAACGAATCGGCAAAGCAAAGAAAATCTAATTCGGCAAAATCTACAGAATGCAGGACTTTTTGTGCACAAATCAATGTAACATAGAGGTTTTCTTTCAGTGACACCAAAGTTTTGCTTGATTATGGAAAAAACTCACTAACATGAAGACCCAAAAGACAGTAAAATACCGTTTGAAATAGTGAAACAAAGGTTACGATTGAGGTAATAACTGTAACACAACGGTGCATTTTGCAGAAAGGTTTGTATCAAGACAGATTGATTGCAGCTACCCTTTAATGTGATAAATGTTCCTCCCTTACGCCAGGGTAAGTAAGGCCGAGGTGGAACGACAACCCCTTTAATGTGAGATTAACCTGGATTTGTGTCCACCGCCTGAATGTAGCCGATGACGTTATGGACCTGACGCAGTAGCGTATCAAGCTTTTGGTGTCACGGGGCAAATTCAAAAGCGAATGCGGCTTTCAGCTTATTTGATAAGATGTTGGAAGAGAAAAAAATCAAAAGCCATACGATCCCAAAATCCTATTTCATGGAGTCGTTTTCTTAGGCTTTTGGCTATAATATTTGAGACATAAATATTAAAATAAAATTCGATAAATAAGTATTAAAATGAAAATAAAACTGAAAAAAAAACCGTTGGGGGTAAGTTCCCCCCCGCCTCCCGCTGGATACGCAACTGACCTTACACACAGCAATAATTTGCAAAGTTTATTTTCATCTCTCATACTTTCATTCAGTAACGACGACTGAATGTATAAGAAGGCCTACACCTGCAAATCCTACCTGAGCACTGACCTTTAATACGGATGCCCTTGAGGATATGCATGCTGAAATGCCATAGAAATAATTGTATGAATCATCGCGGTACAGCTTCCAAATTATCGGCCCTCGATGAACATCGCTATACGAAATATGATTAAAACTTCAGGAGACAAAGTATACCGATTTGGACACTGGTCCTTTTCCCTAAACGAGGATTGGAGGAAATCCAATGCCAGCGTGCCTTTTCAGCGGCGAAGTATCGGCTCACATATTATTTACATAAAATCGTGACATTTACTCTGTGTTGTTGAAGAGTTTATATCGTTGATGAATTTGCCAGGACTGAAACTGATCTAGCAACGCCTCGTTTTAAGGAACGCCGCTAAGTACTTAGTGA